GACCTGCTGGGCTCCGGCGATCCTTCTGCCTCAGCCTTCCAAGTAGCTGGAATTACAAGTGTGCACTACCACGCTCAGCTAGTGTTTTATTTATTGTAGAGATGAGGTCTCACCAAGTTTCCCAGGCGGATCTCAAACCCGGGCTCAGGCAATCCACTCACCTCAGCCTCCCAAAGCATGGGGATTACAGGCTGAGCCACCAAGCCAGGCTACATTGTTTTCTTACAAATAATCTTCCCATTTCAAGAAAAGTGAAGTTGGATTTTATTGTAATTACTGTGAACCAGCTCTATATATGATTGAAGAAACATTTAAATTCATACACCTTTGAGCAGTATGCCTTAAAAGATTTGTATTTGGTGTAAACACTTGGTTTTGCTTGCTGACACAATGAAAAACTAGATTTTATGGATTTTTTGTCTTTTTTTTTTTTTTAATTGGAATCTCACTCTGTCATCCAGGCCAGAGTGCAGTGGCATGCTCATGACTACCACAGTCTCTACCTACTGGGCTAAGGCAATCCTTTTGCTTCAGCCTTCTGAGTAGCTGGGACTACAGGCACGTGCCACCACGCCTGGCTAATTTTTGTATTGTAGAGACAAAGTCTCGCCAAGTTGCCCAAGCTAGTCTCAAACCCCTGGGCTCAGGCAACCTCTTGTCTCGGCCTCCCAAAACTCTGGGATGACAGGCAAGTTATCACACCCAGCAGCTTCTTGTCTTTTACAAACAACAAGAGATAAAATTCATTTAACATTTATCCTTTTCTTATTTTTTCTTAGATTACAGTTTAGTTGAAAATGTATAGGTCTCCTTCTAGTTTGTAAAAACCTACTTATTAAACCGGTTGAAAGGTTTCATCTAGTAGCATTACTGTAGTTGAGCAATTGTTATGAACCCTGTTAAAAATTGAAAAGATAAGAAGTACTAAGTTGCTCTTTAATGAGTTCAATGGTTCATAACTTGCTTAAGGAAACTTAGTAATATTTGATTTACAATAAATTTTAATATTTGGATATCTTGTATTTCCAGTGCAACTTGGCCATATTCTGTTCGTCGACTTGCACAGTCATACTTGAAAGAACCGATGATTGTCTATGTTGGCACTCTGGATATAGTTGTAAGCTTGTTTTATTGCTGCTAAAATAAAACATTTGTTGAACATTTTTTATTATGAAAAATTTGAACATAGCTACCCTGTCCACTGTCCAATTTCAGAGCAAACCCCAGATGCATTTAGTTTTATCCAACAATATTTCAATACACGTGTCTGAAGGATGCATTTTAATAACTACAGTACCATCATCTCATATTTAAAATTTCAATAATCTGGTAATAACACAACTTGTGTTCACATTTTTTTGAGATCTCGTTTTAACACTGTTTGTATCGGGTCTAAGCACAGGTCTACACACTTGCATAAACATGTCTGTTCACTTCTTATGAAGTTAAGATTGATCGTGCAGTTCATATGTCAGTCAAACCCCTCCATTACGAAGCTTTCTGGCTTTCTGCTTAATCATTAAGAGGTGGAATTTGTCTTTCATTTGATCAATAATAAGGAAGTCGTTGCCTAGACCAGTATTTCATTAGGGATTTACAACTAGTAATCAAATATTTCTTGTTTTATGTTAGGTTGATGTATAAGTTTACAACATTTTTTTGGTTTTTGTTTTTGGCATGGCAACACTGCAGTGTTGGGAGTTTGTTGATTGTCATTTGAAGGGACAGTGTTGTGCTTGCAGATTTTGCAAATTTTGCAGATTTTGCAGATTTTGCAAATTTTGCAGATTTGAGGCTAAAGAAGATTTTGCAAGGGACAGTATTGTGCTTGCAGATTTTGCAATTTTTGCAAATTTTGCAAATTTCGCAAATTTTGCAGATTTTGCAAATTTTGCAGATTTGAGGTAAAGAAGATGAAGTGTCAAATGAGAAAAACCAAGCACTTCCAACATCTTCTGTTTGAGTTTAACAGAGGAGTAAACTCAAGACATTTGTGCCATGTCCAGGGAGAATGGCAGTCAGGGAAAGAAAGGCAAGAACACCCATTTTTGTCATTCCAAAATGAGCCACTTTGACCTGAGTGAATCTCCACATTCAGGAAGACCATTCAGGAAGACCATCAGGCTTTGATGAAGTCCGTTTAAATGTTTCGGTCCACGATGATCCAGTCAACCCAAGAATTGGCAAACATGAACTGTTAACCATCATGCGACATTTGCATTCCATGGGCAAGCGAAAAATGCTAACCCAATAAAATAATGATTAGCCTTTCAGAAAAAACAGTACAGATATTTGATTCTTTCCCTTTATTAAATACTACTAAAATCTATTTTCTCAAAAAGACAAATATTTCATCTCTTTATGGATCAAAGATGGTACCAACATATTTTGAGATTTTGTATTGTCAAGATACTCGTTGAATTTGAGACTCTTGCATCATAAGCTCGTCATCTTTCATTGCAAGGGCAATACCCAAAATTCAGGACAATAGCCTTTGTTCCACCTCAGGGTGATTTCCTTTTCCTACAATGGTAACCAGTTGTCTTGAGCACACTCTGCCAAGCATTCAGTGTTCCCAACTGATTTTTGGGAATAAATAATGAAGTGAAAGGCCAAGCTATGCATCTTTTTTTTTTAAGATCTGGGGTACAGTTCAGGTTTAGATATACAAGTGGTCATCATGCAGGTAAAGTTTGTGCCTCCTTTTGGTCCCACTTGCCTGGTTTGAGATCAGGTACCTTTATTGATGTTATGAGCCCCTCCCCCCACCCAGCAGTTTCCAACTACTGCCAATCCCTTTCTTATAGTATTATGGTAAATGTTCAGGATCTACTTATGAGTGAGAACATGTGGTATGCAGGTCTTTGTTTCTGTGACAAATCACTGAATATTATAAACTCTAAATCCATCCAAGTTGCTGTGAAGTCCATAATTTGTTGTTCTTTCTGACTGCATAATATTCCATCATGTATATATACCACTTTTTTTTTATTCAGTCCAGTTTTGATGGGAAGCACAGTTGGTTCCATGTTTTTGCTATTGTAATAGCAAAGCTATAAATCTTTAGGAGAAACAAGTAATTTTGATAGCAGTTTATTAAAACATTAGTCAACAATAGAAAAAAAGATGTATTTTTAGCTCATGTATGGAGTCTCTCCCTTCCTGTTAACATGCCATGTTCTTTGAATCCATTAGGCTGTAAGTTCAGTGAAGCAAAATATAATCGTCACCACAGAGGAAGAAAAACGAACTCATATCCAAACTTTTCTAGAAAGTATTTCACCCGGAGACAAAGTTATTGTCTTTGTTTGCCGAAAGACCCTGTAGGTATTTTTTCTTGTATGTCCATTATAATTAATCGTTGATTTGTGTATGATTAGTTCTACTTGCATGCTAATTTCATATGGGAGCAATGTGTCTGTTGTTATTTCAAACATTGGTAATACAAGTAAAACTAGTGAATTAATGGGTGGTATTAGAATAAACACTTAGGAGTCCTGACTTGTTCTTCTGCTTCAGTGTGGACCACTTATCAAGCGATCTGATTCTTGGAAATATACCAGTAGAATCTCTGCATGGTGATAGAGAACAGAGAGATCGGGAAAGAACATTAGAGAACTTTAAAGCAGGTACTTTTATGTAATTAGTATGAGTTACAATTTATTTATTATTATAATTATTTTTAATTGGAACTGGGGTCTCATTCTGTCGCCCAGGCTGGAGCACGGTGGCATGATCACAGCTTACTGCAGCCTCAACCTCCTGGGCTCAGGTGATCCTTCCACCTCTACCTCCCTAGTAGCGGGGACTACAGGTGCACACTACCACACCTGGCTAGTTTTTTTTTTTATTTTGTATAGAGACAAGCCCAGGCTGGTCTACAACTCCTGGCTCAAGCAGCCTTCCTGCCTCAGTCTTCCAAAGTACTGGAATTACAGGTGTGAGCCACTGTGACTTGCCTGTTGCAATTTAAAATAAGTGCAATACTTGGGCTTGGGAAACCCATTCTAAGGTTTGTTCTCAGTTTCTGTATCCCATAACTATGCTTGTCAGAGCTCTAAATATTAATCTGCTAAGAGCTAACTAAATTCCCCAAAGAATGTTTAAGCCTGGATACCACAGTCTTAATTTGCAACAGAGAATAGATCTCAGTTTACCTGAAAAACATTTTCCTGCCATGGTTCAGAGGTTTCAAGAACTATCTGCTGACTCATGGTATCTATTGTAACAGATAAAGAAAATTAAAACTCCATTTTCCATTTTTATTAAGTGAGCATTTTAATGTAAGTGATAATTAACCTGATTATATTATAAGGACAGTATACATTTCATTTATATCTTTGGTTGGTTTATACCACAACGAGTCAACATTCATGTGACTTGATTCCTTAGGGAAAGCAAGAATATTAATTGCAACTGACTTGGCATCCCGTGGTCTTGATGTCCATGATATTACACACGTCTATAATTATGATTTTCCACGGAACATTGAAGAATATGTGCACCGAATAGGGCGCACCGGACGCGCAGGGTATGTGAGCATGGCCCACCCAGTTCCAGATCCTCGGGGCTCCCCTCACAGACATCGTGCCCAGAAACCCATTTTTTTCTCTCGCCTGTAAATTGTCTGCTCCTCAGAATCTTGGCTATTGCACTTTCTCCCTAGCCATTTGACTTGTTCTAGACTCAACCAGATCTCCCGTGGTTGGCCTCATACAGCTGTGTCCAGTTCTACCCTTCTTACATCTACAGTGTGACCACTGAGTTCTGTACCCAGTGGATACTTTGGACGTTGCTAGCAAATAGTACAAATTAGCACAGGCATGAGAAGCCTCTCCATTTTAAGGGCACTACTGTCATACATCCACGTGTGCAGGTTCAACAACTGCAGGTTTAAAATCCAGATCTCGGACCCTAAATCTTGTGCACAACACATACTGGGCTGGTGATGGGAAAGTTGTGGCTCCCCTGTTTTTATTCTGTTCTCTTTTAGTCTTTATTAACTGAACACATTTTCCAAATGAAACCACATGCGTTTTTTCCCCTCTGAAGGAGGACTGGAGAGTCGATTACACTTATCACCAGGAATGACTGGAGGGTTGCCCCTGAACTGATCAGCATCCTGGAAAGAGCAAATCAGGTGAGTGTTCGCAGTACATTAGAAATCTACCTCAGTTTTCTGGTGTGTCATCTGTCAGTGATGCCAGGTCCTGGGGCTTGCTGCTTCTCAGGGAACATAAACATTGAAAGGGCTCAAACATGTTATGAGGGTGACACCAGGGCAACAATATGGAGCTATACACGTATAATTGGGTAACCTCACGCAATGGAGGTGGCCCTGAAAGCCCCACTAGGGAAGAAACCAGTGGGTGGAGGTACGGAGAGCTGTAGTGGCAGGGCAAATGTTCCAGCAGGGGGGAGCATAAGACCCAGAGGTGAGGAGGAATGTGGAGAAAATGGTAAAACAGGTAAAGGCACGTGATGGCCCTTGCAGGTGGTGTAGCCTGAAGGTGGGTTTAGAGAGACACATTCCTGTTTGAAAGATGTTGTGTAACCAGGCATGCAGATGACCTGAAATGATTTGGAGGCATTGTAGCATATTGGAGAAAAGAACTCAGAATTCTAATAACATATTTAATAATTTCAGAGTATCCCAGAGGAGCTTGTGTCAATGGCTGAGAGATATAAGGGACATCAACATAAAAAAGAAATGGAAAGAAAAATGGGAAGACCTCAAGGAAAGCCCAGGAAGTCTTATTAGTAACATCTTATATTGAAAAGTGGCACCAGCTTACCAGAGGTAAAACTTAAAGAACACATGAATTTTCAAATGCCTGACCTCTTTTTTTTTTTTTTTTTTGAGTTGGAGTCTCACTCTGTTGCCCAGACTGGAGTGCAGTGGCCGCTTCCGGCCACCACAGCCTCGACCTGCTGGGCTCCGGTGATCCTTTCACTCTGCCTTCCAAGTAGCTGGAACTACAGGCACGCGCTACCACGCCTGGCTAATTTTTTAATTTATTGTAGAGATGAGGTCTCGCCAAGTTGCCCAGGCGGGTCGCGAACTCACAGGCTCAGGCAATCCACTTACCTCAGCCTCCCAAAGCGTGGGATTACAGGCTGAGCCACCGAGCCTGGCTATGCCTGACCTCTTAAACTAGGCTTTGTTAGTGTATTTATCACAGTCAGCATTGCCTTAACATAATAAATTAGGTATTGCCCTTTTACCTATTGCCTAAAGTCTTAGAGTTGGTAGACATATGTATTAGTATAAAATGAACAAATTTGTAATTTATTACTTATAAATACTTAGACCTTTTGATTGGGCAATTCCTCTTGGCAAGTATGTCTATATCTGCAAGACTTTTTAAAGCAGTATCTATAGTAGCAAAAGACTTACTGAAGTGTCTAGTGGGGACTAGATAAGTAAGTTGGTGATTAGTTTGCCATGCTGTAGATAAAGAACATGGGAGTCACCTCCAAGACAGTATAAGTATTAAGAGCAAAGATCGTTTTACTAGGGCTGATGGGCGGAGTTAAAACAGGAAACCTTATCTCCTACTTCAAACTCAACAGAAATGCTAGATAAAACTTTTTTTTTACAAAAATGTTGCCAAAGCTATGGGTAGGGGCTTGTTATATCTGGTGTTGTTTAAATAATTCCATAATAAAATGTTTCCATGGTAGAAAGGCTTTCCTGTCAACCTGAGGATGCAGCACTGAAGGGGAGTTTCCCTCTGACTGGAGGGGGTGAGGAGGCATAGAGGGAGCTGCAAGAACTCTGGCTGAATTCAGACCTTGCAGCCTCATGCCAAAAAACTACCTCTAAAATGGCAAAGCGTTACTGAAATACCACTCACCAGATAACACTCCACACACAAAGGATTACACTCCAGCTATATCACAGAATGGGATTTACTGAGATGCTAAGGTAAAACCAAGAGGGACTTTGTCATAAATATGCTTGAAAAGCTCAAAAATAAGTAGAAATCTGACGGATGACTTGTGACAAAATTGAAAATCCAGAAAAAAAAAATCTAAAAGTAGTCATCAAAATTTTAAATCTCAAAAGGATTAAGACAGAGCTGAAGAGAATTGGTGTCATGAGATCAGAGGAAATCATGCAATGCCTCTGAAAAAAACAATAGAAAATATAAAAGCAAAGTTTCAGAATATAGTGTGTAAGGCATGTTCTCATTTTTAAATACTTTTAATGTTTATATTAACAGAAACAGGATAAAACCACAAAACAGTGGCTGCCTCTGCTTTTAATTTTTGCTATTTGAAAAAGTTAAAAACTAAGAATAATCTACCAAAATTACATCATGAGGAAATAAAAATGTGAACAGATCTATAACTAGTAAGAAGTTTAAATCAGTGAAAATCTTCCCCCACAAGGAAAAGCCCAGGATAAGATGGCTTCACTGGTGAATTCTACCTAACATTTAAGAAAAAAACAATCCTCTTCAACTTTTTAAAAAAAATTTTCAGCACCATGCATTCTGCATTCATTCAACCTCTTTTTAAAAGTTGAAGAGTGCGGAATACTTCCAAACTTACTGTGGGGCCAGTGTTACCCTTGCAAAACCAGGTAAATACTATAAGAAAAATAATAAGAACAGTATTCCTGAATATTGGTGAAAAATCCTCAAAATACTAGCAAATAGAATTCAATAGCACATTAGAAAGATACACAGTGACCAAGTGGGATTTATTCCTAGAATGCAAGAATTCGTTAACATACATAAGTCAATGAAATTATACCACATTAATAGAAATTTTTTAAAAACTCAACTGATAGAGAAAAAGCATTTGCCAATTCAACATTCTTTCATGATAAAAAACAAACTAAGGGTGCTATGATTTGGATGTTCTCTCCCAAGTTGTTGAAATTGAATGGCCATAGAACCAGGGTTAAGAGGTGGCCTTTGGGACATGATTGGGCATGAGAGCACCTCCCTCATGGGTGGGCTTTCAGGAGTGGGCCCTCTTGTGTCCCTCTGCCATGGGATGATGCAGCTAGAAGACCTTCACCAGCTATGAACACCGCCCTCCTTCCCCCTGCACTTCAGAAACTTGATAAATTCCCAGTTTGTGGTACTCTGTTACAGATGCACAAAATAAAGAAAGCAGAGGATAAGATCTTATATAGAAAACCCTAAAGCGTCCACAAAAGTTTAGCAAATTTGCAGGATACAAAGCACAAAAAGTAGTTGCATTACTAACAATAAACAATCTAACAAGAAATTAAAACAGCTCCATTTACAGTAGCATCAAAAAATAAAATACTTAGGAATAAGCAATAAAGAATGCAAAAGACTTCTACATTAAAAACTACAAAGTGTTGATGAAAGAAACTAAAAAAGACATAAATGGGAAGACAACCTATTTTCATAAATTAGAAGAATTGATATTATTTGAATGTCTGCACTACCCAGTCAGTCTATAGATTCAATACAACTTCTATCAAAATCTCAATGGCTTTTTTTTCAGAAATAGAAAAGTTTTATTTTATAAATCATGGAAACTCAAGGGACCCCAAATAGCCATACCGACTTTGAATAAAGAACATGATTGGAGGATTCATTTACTTGCTGCCTTCAAAACATATTACAAAGCTACAGTAATCAAAAGACTATGGTGCTTGCGTAAAGGCATGTAAACCACGTGATAGAATAGAGTGCTCAGAGATAAACCCTCATATGATCAAGTGATTTCTGACAAGCATGCTAAACTAGTCAGTAGGAAGAGGACGCTCATTTCAGCAAATGTATTGAGAAAACTGGATGTCCACAGATTAATTGGCTATGACACCAAAAGCACAGGCAACACAAGCAAAAATGAAAGTGGGACTACATCAAACTTTTTTTTTTTTTTTTGTTGAGTTTCACTCCGTCATCCAGGCTAGAGTGCAGTGGCATGCTCATGGCCACCCCAGCATCAACCCACTGGGCTCAAGTGATCCTTCCGCCTCAGCTTTCCAAGTAGCCAGAACTAAAGACACATGCTACCACACCTAGCTAATTTTTTATTTATAGTAGAGATGTGGTCTCACCAAGTGTCCTGGGCTGGTCTTGAACCCACGGGCTCAGGTAATCCACACACCTCAGCCTTTCAAAGTGCTAGAATTGCCAGGCTCGGTGGCTCAGCCTGTAATCCCGTGCCTTTGGGAGGCTGAGGTGAGTG